CATTAAAACTCTTTATTAGTCAATTTAACAATAAATTGCTTTACGAAGCTATACAAATATAAACAATTTTATTGCAAAAATTAAAAAAAGAAGAACCAAACAAAAAAAAAACAAAAACAAAAACAAAAACAAAAATCACCCACAATTCTTTATTACAAACAGAATTTAAAGGTTTGTCGACTTCATAAGCCAGAGACTGATCTGCCATCCATACATGAAATCCGCTACTCGTGAATAGCACCATCCAATACATATTTAAGGTTAGATTCAGTAGAACCAAACAATGAAGTAAACTGCATCATACAGCTATTTCGGCCAAAAGTTATCGAAAGAAAAGACAAAATCTAGAAGAGCTGTAGTCCCTTAATTCAATCAAATGTAGTAATTTTCATCTATCTGATAATTTTAGAACAATGTCAGGTTCATGTGTATATTCTGCACTATTCGAACGAATTAAAACGACAGTATCTACCACCCGCAATGTCACGTGGTTGTATTTCAGAATCGCCTGATAGATTTCCAAGAATGCTGAATAGATTCCAAAAAGTTTATACCAGTGTATAAACTTACGCTGGACACAGAAAAAAAAAAAGTTTTAGAATTGGCGGTGGTATCAGAAATAATGACAAATAGTACTATATTAATTTAGAACTTGAAATTGTGACCCAATGTAATTATTTTGTTATGCTTTTCATCTTTAATGGAAAATTTCATATCACCCAAAATCGCGCTGGATAAAGGAAAAGGGCATTATTATCTCCAAAGTAAGATTTTAAAAAAATCACAAATTTAATATTCAGACATGGATATTTGTTTTTGACACATTTGTAAATAATATTTTAAGTTTCGGCACGGGAAATAGGGATTTGAACGAAGCTGTAGATGTAGAAAAAGTGCATATATATAATGTTTTGCAAACGACTTCTTTGTATAAACAAAAGAAGTTTCGTATATTGTATATTGTGAGTTAGGACAACAACCATTTTAACCTTTATAGAGCTAATATTATTTAAATTTTGGTTAAAGGTGAAGGCTACAAATAATTGTAGTCTATGTTTTGATGAAACGGTAGCATCTGATAACAGCTGGCTATTGAATATTCAAGCCGAGCTAAATATAAAATTGTAAAATGTAAATATCCTCGAAAAAACACTGGACATGTTGCTCAGTTTCAAGACGGGCAAAGAAATGGCAAGACATTTGGATTTATACTGCTTTATCTTCCCGTGTAGTCCCCTTCCAACTTCACACACTTGCTTCATCAGTTTTCCAGACATTTGCAACCAATCGGCAGGTCTCAACGTCTTGGTCCATTACCAGCTTTTCATGACAACACTCAGCTCATCATCTTCCTCAGTTCTCCGGCCCGGATGGTGTTCCTTATCCCATCATTGAAAAGTTGCAGAAGAAGAGGAAACATTCCAATAAATGGCTTTCACTCGCTCTTCAAGCTTCACCGCTCTAGATTCAGCCAGTGATATGTACATATTTTCAGTAACTAAGACAATTGCGTGCGTATATCAAACCTGGTACATTGTATCTATACTACAGAAATTATGTGTGATTGTTTGGTCTGTTCTCGGCTTTGAAATTACTGACATCAACACTGTGTTTGGTTAAGTGGGAAATTTAAACGCAAATTCTGTTTCAGATTACGTAAACTATATATAAATATTAATATATGTATTAAATGTTACAAGATGATAGTCATTATGAATACAAAAAAGGGCGTTAGATAAATAGGATGTGCTTCATATAATGCAATAATTCTCTCACAATTGTTTCGGGGTATCTAACTATGATATCAAAAACGGAAACTAGTTGATAAATATCAACTCTACCAAAAGGAAATTGACAATGAATAGCAAGTTTCATGTGCCAGTCGGTACACTATTTTATGTTGTGCGTATTAATCTGGATAAAGATAGTGAATGTAAGGAAATTTCCATCAACAATGTAACATGTGTGATTTGTTTAAGCAAGAAATCTGTCCTATTTGCAAAGATGCAAATCTCTGCACATCTATTCATATATCATAGTTATGAAAATTCAAATATAGAAACAAAGAATTATTACGGTGATTCTCAAGTAGTCTTCTCTAAACAACTATATTTGGGCACGGACTAGTGTCAACAGATGACCTTTTTGACAAGATATTTCTATCACATTTTGCTGCACAGGTACTGACAACAGAACGCATAAGTGCTCCGTAAGATATCTACATACGGACATGAACAATTACCTTGAGTCCCGATACGATTAGATGATAAGATAATACAGGTTTTGAGGACGCACGTGTCGTATTCCCATTGTCCACTCCCAGGGGTCTACATTTTACATGGTCTTTGCTGTAGCATGAATGATATTGCAAATTTTATATTTTCACTTCATTTTTATTCTTTTCCTTTGTCATGATCTTTTCTTTTGAAATGATAAAATTTCGGTTTCATGATGTAAATGCATTGCAAGGTGTGTCTATCTTAATTCATGATGTGAAAAAGTACATTACATCTTAGCGTTATTGCTGCAATTAACATATTTGAATAAATAAATGATATCACCTTCATCACAAATGAACAACGAACTGTAAAGAACACGGGATAGAAGAAAATGTTTTCTCTTCTGATACATACACAGAATTATCACATTGAATGATAAGTGTATCATATAAGCCAGAAGGACAAATGGTGACATTTCCATGGAACATGTCGCATATCTGTCTCTAAAATGACTAATGTGTCATTTAAGACATGTGAGATAACGATCCTGTTGTGTGGTATTTTTGCTAGTGTTATTTTGGGTCACTTTTAAAATATACGATCATTTTTATGTTTTATGTTGTGATTTTGACATATACAAACGGTCTTTTTGACATCATGTTGCGTTTTTTTATACACACGTATTATTTAGCCATATATAAGCGGCCTCTTGTAACTTCAGGTGTTTGAATCTATACATAAACATTATGATTTATGAATGTATTCTGACATGTGACAAGTTGATCAACATAAACAGCACATTTGAATTAATTGAAAGTAATTGATTGCAAATTTATACCGCATAGTCCACATTTTCTACAACAAACTAGCTGCAGTCAGTTCGTTGGATATCATTTGGATTGTATGCAATTCAAAATAAAACACCTCGGTAGACAAGGGGTCCACATTTGCATAAACTGATGCATTGTAGTATATTAGTATTTCGTGACGTTGTGTATAATTTCACTCGAATAAAGTAAGAATAATTCATCACTGAACTGCCTTGTAACGGTATTTTTCTTGTCGTTACTAATGTCATAGCGTAATACAGCATGTTTGCCAGCTAAATTCTGAAATTCAATATGACCGTAAATACCAGTGCATGGGAGTTCAAAACTTGTATTTACATTCCTTACCAATGTTGCTGTCTAATGCCAATTACAAGTAAAATGATTTTTTTCATTATCGTCAGATTAATCCGTCAAATGGATTATTAACGTTTTTGACGACTATGCTTACAATACCAATCTTATAATGACCACACTCCAGGTAGCATTTTACTACTAACGAGTTTTATAAGATATTTACTTATTAAATCCCTATTAAAAAATCGTTCACTGACCAAACGTAACTTTTAATGAATAAGTCGGAATGTTTCCATCATACACCAAGTCCAACAGTCCTTACAAAGTATTCATGTTGAAATAAATTTTAAAAAACCCTGTAAATTTGCAACATGACATAGATTTATTAAGAATCCCTTTATGTTTGGTTAAACGTATAAGATTTATTTATATGCAATTACTTAATGGACATGAAGTAATGTAGACATTCACATATAGCTAACATAATTACATTCAGTTTATACTATAAACACACATCTTATATTTGTAATATAATATGTCGTAATTGTTTTATCCTCCGTAAATTGGTAACGCTGTTCTGCTACACTGTTTCCAGTCCATATTCGGTATTTCATGTTTTTGTCCCTTAATATTACTTGACAATATCAACATCGCCCATTACATCCAGACAACACCCCCTTCCGGCCCCAGTTGCTCAATATTAATTAAAAAGATAAAAGATACATATTGTGTCATAATTTTACACATTTAGTCGTTTACCATCGCTCTAAGTATAAAACTTAGGTAAGTCAATCAAAATACCGTTTTCGTTTATAAAATTCATCCCTCCGGCAAAACAAAATCAGCATTCATATACCCTTCTGTGATATAAGCCACCCTTAGTTTACTTCCGTTAGCAAGAGCTGTCTGCTATGTAAAACATTTCAACATTATTTGTATTTATTAAAATAATAACTGTTATATCAATATGAACTTAATTGTTACAAGTAAATGAAATAATGCTATTTATATATTCGGTAATATATTTTTAAGCTACAGGTAAACCATCGTCCCTTCTTTTATTTGTAAGTGTGTGGTGAATGCACACATATGTAAAGTCTGTAAGTTATCGACCGTAAGGACACAAATATGCAATTGTGTAAAGAATTCGCTTTAACTTGTCTCGGCACTTACACGTATACACTGTAAATTAAACAACGTATAGCGGGGACATCGTGTAGTATCAATAGGGGTATACACTCAATCATTGTTACACATGTGAGGTCATCATATATGTGGTACTTCTTGATTGAATGCGGAAGGTTTAATATACCGAAAGCGCAGGAAATGGGACGGGGAATATTCGGGAAGAAGTTTCGGAAGTGTCATTGACAATGGCCTCTATGCTAGAAGATCAATTGACTGTTGACATACAGGACATTGTCACTGATTGATCTGTTTGATTGGAGGCTCAGAAGTAAGTTACAGTGAAGGGTATACGACAGTGGTCCTCATCGGGTATATGAATCAAGATAGATGTTTAGGGACAACAGGAAACAAAGGAGTGGACAAAAGGCATATACTTTTATAGCTGAAACACAATTTTTGTTTTAAGTTCTATGATGATTATTTAATATTTTTGTTCTCAACGAAAGAAAAGAAATTGTAAAAGCTCAAAATGGCAGAAACGGAAGATATACAAAAATTAATTGATTTAATGACAAATGTGCCTTTGACATCGTTGAACAATGGATGTAGAAGAAAAATTGGCATGTTCATGGACCTAGAAGGAAGCTTGATTCCAGATTCGGACATGTTTAACGATTGGTGTGGTTGTGCTGAACTTTTGAATTTCGAATTAAACGAAATCGAAAATATGAAACGTCAGAGGTATCCCACTCAGGAAATGCTCCAATTATGGAGTACCCGAGATAAACCCAAACCGACAGTTGGAAATCTTATTAACTTCCTGTGTCAGCTGAAAAGGTTTGATGTAATTCGAGAGTGTCGAAACATCATAGGTAAGATATTACCACTAATCTTATTCTGTATTGTTATCTAGAAATATAAATTAGACATAGTAATAGTTTAATAATCCAGCTTAGAAAATGTCTAGGATAATCCTATATAGGCAATTACTTAACTAAATATAGGTAAGTATATAAATTAAAATGTTCCTTCTGCGGTAGGAGAAAACAGGTACGCATTGGGCAAGATTGAGGGAGAAAATGATTACACGATAAAAGTTTGTATCAGATACAAACGATTTCATTGGTCGTATATATACTATATAAGACGAGAAGTTATGTTATGTACTGACATGTAAATTTACTTGTGATATTAGTAAATGTGGAAATACGTCCCTCTTTGTGTAACAGGTGATATACATAGTAAATATCAAATATACAAGATGTTTAAAAACTGGTTCATGGTACACGACTTTGCCTAGTCATTACTGATATATACACTGCTAAGTGGTAATGTAATTAAGATATATAACATGTTCTAGTAGTACATGTAGTACACATGAAGTGATATGAATTATTTACTAATCATTTCATAGATTAAACTCATGTAGTCGACCACTCAGAGGAATTGAAAACATCGATTTTCTCATGAGCTTTTCAAGTGTCTTATACTCGAAAAGCTCATGACCGAACACGCAGCGTAGATGTTTTCCGAAAATCTGGATTAGGTATCTTGTATCACTGTGCTATTTTAAGAACTCTGACGTGATAGGGCAAAGCAATGGGGATTTCCCACATAATTATTAATTCGGGGATTTTGGAAAGCTTGGCAAGTAGCTAAAAGTCAGAAACAGATTTTGTTTGGCTCATTGTGTGCATAGATAGAAATTGAGAACTTGATGAACTGGTCAAATTTAAACAAGTTATTTCACGTACTAAACACTACCAGGTTAAATTATGTCATCGATAAAGAAAATTAGAGAAATCTTAATCAGACTTCATAAAATTGAAAAAAATACTTAATGTCCATTTGACATCCCTTTTGGATGTTGAATAATATCAAACAAGTGTCCATGTGTATGATCGTAATATAAAATGCCAGATGAAAGTAATTGTCCACGTCTAAAAGCAAAGCTAACCAGCAATCCAATAAAATGACTCCAGCAGAGATAATCAGCAATCCAATAAAAGAACCCCAGCAGAGATAACCAGCAATCCAATAAAGGACCCCAGCAGAGATAACCAGCAATCCAATAAAAGGACCCCAGCAGAGCTAACCAGCAATCCAATAAAAGGACCCCAGCAGAGATAACCATCAATCCAATAAAAGGACTCCAGCAGAGATAACCAGCAATCCAATCATACCCGAACATTAAATATAAAGAACCTTCATATCTAGATACCATTTAAACATTTTAAACATTCAGATTTTACAGTTTTCATAGGTAAATGTTATATTTATATGAAGCCCTAATAAAAAAACCTTACAATTTCTTACATTATTAAGCACATTACAATGCAAGCTTGTCCGTCAGAAGCGGATATATATCACGAAATAGCAAAGTAATTGAGCAAAAACAAACATTGTGACAGGCAAAGCAGTGTTGTTTCGGTCAAGAATGAAAATTGTTTAAAATCATTTCCCTTACCATAAAGGTCAATGATAGGAGGCTAACCATGTCGTAATTACGGATCAATGATGAAGAGTCTATATTATCTTTGTGTCTTTGCAAGATCTGCTGTATCATCCATTGTATAAATATAGATAAATTGTATGCAGTCTTTCGAATCTTGCAAAATACCAGTTCAAGCTCTTATTTATAGATTGATCTGATTCTAGTTCTCACAGGTAGGAGGGATAGATACATAAGCGTATTTCTTAGGGTCTGGTAACCAGGCTAACTGCTTGTCAATGCCTTTGTTTACTTGCTGATTGCATGAAGACCAAACCGTTATCTCAACATTGGTCACTTCAGATGACGGTATAATATTTTACACCCGATCTATATAAAGATCTATTTTAAGGATTAAATTCATTGAAAAATATCATAAAATGTATCTTTTCATGCTAATTTTTTGTTACAGAAAGAGACGTTCAAAGGTGGTGGGAAAATGAACGAAATCTACAGGAAATCTGTGGTATGTTCACGAGATACATTTGTCGTAACTTTTATTCAATCATATTTAGTTAAAAGAGTACATGGTTAAAGCCGTCTATGTTAAATTACTAAATGAGGAGAAGGTCCTTACAAATAGGTGGTTTCTGGTTACTGAAAATTTAAAACTCGATATAGGTTTCCTAGTTCAATATTTTGAATTAATGTACATATGTAATCCTTGCAATATATCAGAGAGGCCGTCAATATTACTGTTTAGGCCTACGGAATGGTAGCAGGTTTTGCTGTGTGTGATAAGAAACAGACCAGTGCAACAACTAGGTTTCTGTCACCTCAGTGAGTGTATTAACCACATTTGCAAGAGGAAAACTATGAGTATTTTGCATCCCAAGGACCAGACCTATTTTATGTACAGGCATGGTATGTCGTATTAACTGCCCCAGCAGTGAGTAAAAGTTTTGTAGCAAACATGTTACGATAATCATTACTAAATCATCATTTGAATATCACCTGACTTCGAATTTCTTTCATTATCCTGTCTTACCCGCAAAATATATGATATATGATACATGTAACCTTTACCAAAGAATTGTTTACTGTGTTTACCGACATAGAGATAACGAGCCGTGTGAGAAATTACAGCTGACAGTTGGATATGTGTCAACTAAATGTGTTACAAGGTAGTATCTCCTCCAATATACATTGGTTTAGATATTCGTACATAGTGTTTTGTATTTCGACACATTTTACCTAAGTCTTACAAGCAACACACTTTATCAATCCATATACTTACTCAGTATGATGTGTTAGTTTAGAAAAAAATATTTGTGCCCCCTAGTGAAATCGAAAAAGGGAAAAAAGTTGACACAAAAGTAAGCCATTTTAAACCTTACGTACTTTAGAGACAGCGTAATTTGAAATGTTTATGTGATTTCTACATGAAAGTTTGCCATATTATCAGGGGAGTGTCTCCTTAGATCCGGAATGTTGTGTACCTGGCCCAGAGCTGATAAGGCTAATAACAGAGTATCGATATGTACTGTAGTGTCACTTGATACTACACACATATACAAGGAGGAAGTACATGATTATACTTGTATACAGAGACACATAACTATTATTTGTCACTTTAGGTATTATTTAGATTTTCAGTTCCGTTACACTTCTATTGAAATTTACATATGGTGCTACTTCAGTTAAAATGTCACATGGCATCGTCATTTCTTCCATGCTTTGATTTTGTTCCTTTTTGGAATACATAAGGTTATTACTTCTCCTATCTACATATATTTCCTTTTATTATCATTCATCAACATTTTGCGACATTTCGTTTACGAAATCATCTGAAACAGAGTAACCAATATTTTTCTTTACAATTATTCTCTCAATGATTATCAAAAATCGATAAAAACACAAAAGAATATCCTTAACATATTCAATGGTAATTAGGTATTGAATCTAATTTCCAATATGGCATATTATACGTTCAGGTAGCCACAAATGCAATTCTGTAGTAAGTTACATTGTATTATGAATCTATCTTACTGTTATCCTTTCGTGATCAAGGTTTACATGGCGGGTGTTTTCGATGAAGCGGAAAAACACCTGGTCTTATTCTCCTTGTACTTTTTCAGAAGTCTCCGTGTAAATATTTCGTTTGTTCATACATTTCCCTAACTTTTGAATTTAAGTTTGGGTTATGATTAAGTTGACATATTGATATATATACATATATATATACTTATATGTATATACATGTATTTGTTCTTCAGAAAATCCTACTTTTCGATCCCCCCTACAAGAAGAAACACAGACTGTAGCAGATGGTGAGCAGAAAACCTTACCTTATACATTATAGCTCAAATGGATGGCAAGCAACACGCCTCATCCCTATAACAGTAATATGATAAAGTCAATGAGATATTACGTGTAATGTCAATACAAGGACAATATTTACGTAAACCCCGCTACATTCTTATTAATTATTAATCCTTATTATCCTCATTAGTACTGATTCAAATCTGATTAATTCTACTAATTAGCTGTTCCTTATTTTTTATAAGTTACAAAATTATTCAAAGTCACATATTGTCCTTTTATATCGCAGTGAGTAGTCAACACGAGATCTATTACGATTGTTTCGTCATCTACAATCCTGAAGCAAGGGACCAGCTTGATTTTGTTAAGGAGATGAGTAATATCCTGGAGGGGCCGGAACACAACCTTCGTTTGTTCATCCCCTGGAGAGACGATTTAGTGGGAACAGCAGCGCATTCAGTATCGGCAGCCATTATAGAAAGAAAGTAAGGTTGTCATTCAAAATTGAATGAACAAGTCATAAATATATAACCTTCATCTTATCGGTTGCGATATCGTCTTCATAACAAAGGCAACACGCTGGATGTACGAAGAAGTGCCGAAACACCAACGTTATCATTTTGTTATGTCGCCTATTTTCACTTGCAGTCGTAGACTTTCGTAACATGGTTGTATCCACAAGTATAAGATCCAAGCTTGCTCCAATACGAAAGTCATCTATGTACTTGTATCATTGAAGTATTGAATAAAAATATTTTCAATATTTAAAATACTTAAACCAAATCCTGATAAATGCACATTGTACAAAATATCGTCATTATTGTCTCGTGCTATTGTAGCCTGAAGAAGTGTTTGGCATATACAATCATATCTATGGTGTACGCTCTAAAAAGGTAATATCCTCATATGATTTGTAACGGGATTGTCTCTTTCGAGAATGTTTTTTTCACATTCGTCCCTTTTTGCAGATGTCGTCGATGTGCTGTGATTTTATCTAAATCATTCTACAACAGTCCAGCAGCAGACTTCCAGCTTAAATTTGCGCATGCTCTGTCTCCAGGTAACAACACATATATCTCTATAACAAAGTATCAAAATATAAAGACAATGCAAAAGATATCACATTATACACCTTTAATTTATTGTTCATGTTCTTTAATTAATTCATCAATTTATTAAGAACTTAATTCATACACAATAAACACAAGTTAATTGTAAGAAATAAAATATAAAAGAGTCTGTCAAACAAAATGTAATATTAATACAGATCAATATATATGGCCATAACTGAACCACAGGTGAAAATCACGAAAGTCACACTACAGAGGAAAGTGGACAAACAATTTCCCCCTTGCAGCTTACTGACAGTTTAGAGTGTATAATTAGCATCACATGTTTCGAATTGTTATAGATACGTGTCATAAATACATAATATCATGCTGTATCAAAGGATGTGTCTCTGAGTACCTTCCCTATTTTCCTCCTAGCCCATCACAGTTATATTAATAGCTACCATCAAGGTTTTCTACATTGAATAGACACTGTAGACGCCATGGTTTTGGATATATATCTTAATTCACAACATTGTGTGGTAATACAAACTGTATATATTGTATGATATAGACAAGGGAAACAAGTTGTCTGATCCATATGTCTGATTATGTGTTAATAAATCAGTTATAGTATATATATACTGTGTAATTTTGTTTTACAGGAGCTCGTCAAAAGAGAGTGATTCCAATTTTGATAGAGAAGATAAAGCCTCCCGATATATTAAACTTTGTCGCTTCGGCGCCATTTTACAACCAGGGAATAAGACAGTGGCAATGGCCCCGCGTTGTTGCTACCATCAAATCGGAACTTCGGCCAGATCGACAAACATGGCTCCCGGAAGTCGATGCCTGGAATATCGCGTTAGATACTTCTGATGTGACAAAGCGAGAACTTTGGACACTCACCATTGCTACACAAGTTTATCCAGATGAGAAAAGACATATTCCAGACGTTGACGCACAAAAGAAAAAACTGAAAAATAAAAAGAAAGAATTGAAAGCAAAGCCTTGATTTAGAAAACCCGTTCCCCGATTTGAAGACAATGTTTTAAGATACATCAGACTGGATGAAAAAGGAAGGATGATTGCAAATTTAATCCATACTGCCACATAATTCAATATCTATATTACCCTGAAGTTAACGTAATGCAAAAACGCGATCATTCAACAGACGTCAAAGTCACTCCTGTGACAGCTTCGGACTAGACAAGATTAGAAATAATGGTACAATTACAGCGTGTCACTGGACAGGATTATAATTAATGGTACAATTACAGCTTGTGACTGGACAGGTTTAGAAATAATGGTACAATTACAGATTGTGACTGGACAGGATTATAAATAATGGTACAATTACAGCTTGTGACTGGGCAGGATTAGAAATAATGGTACAATTACAGATTGGGACTGGAAAGGATTAGAAATAATGGTACAATTACAGCGTGTGACTGGGCAGGATTAGAAATAATGGCACTATTACAGCTTGTGACTGGGCAGGATTAGAAATAATGGTACAATTACAGCTTGTGACTGGGCAGGATTAGAAATAATGGTACAATTATAGCGTGTGACTGGGCAGGATTAGAAATAATGCTGTCATCACAAGATGTAATTTTACAGATTTAAATTAATTTTAGCAGAAAGACTGTTCTTCTGGTATGGTGAGGAACAGCATTGAGCTACATACATGAAATAGTTCAGGATTTTACATATTGATTATTATTGCATATATTATTGAAGTTCGTCAATGATTTAATGACCGATTGTTTTCGAAAGGGGAAAAGAAAACAAAAAAGAAAAATTATACGAAATCCATCATAGGTTTGTTGCCAAAAGTATCATTACATGATCTTTGTTACATATTCTGTATATAATATCATTTATGATTAACACTTGCCTTGTTATAAATGTAAAACCATATATATACTAAATGTTTGTTATCAAGTATATGAAATATTTGTGATAACGAAACTTTTTCGTTTCCATACGTGCTTTATGTTTTATTAAGATTGTTGAGAAATCCGCACAATGATTGACATTAATTTTACTGTCTCGTTTTGGTATTGTTCAGATTATTAAAATGTCAAATCATCAGTATGACTTGTTGTAAATAACGTGAAAAAGTTTCTGATGATCTACCCATGTTAGTAAGTCACCACTTAAATCAAAATGTCGAACACAAGTAGTTCTATATAGTGTAATCTTTGGAAAACAAACGTTTATTGTATCAATCAGATAAAACAGAGAACTTGGAATCGAAGGCACTAGAGACGTTAGCTGTTTAATTTGATATTTACTTACACCATAGCTGAACGATATTATTTTATGAAGCTATACAAATAAGAAGAGGAAACATTCCAATAAATAGCTTTCACTCGCTCTTATCAAGCAAAATCTAGAGGAGCTGTAGTCCCTTAATTCAATCAAATGTAGTAATTTTCATCTATCTGATAATTTTAGAACACCATGTGTATATTCTGCACTATTCGAACGAATTAAAACGACAGTATCTAGTGGTTGTATTTCAGAATCGCCTGATAGATTTCCAAGAATGCTGAATATTCAGCTTGCAGTGATTTTAGAAATGGCGGTGGTATCAGAAATAATGTACAAATAGTATATTGATTTTCTTTAATGGAAAATTTCATGTCATGGATAAAGGAAAGGGGCATTATTATCTCCAAAGTAAGTTTTAAAAAATCACAAATTTAATATTCAGACATGGATATTTAAGACAATGGATAAAAAAAAGGAAAGGGGACACAGAAAAAAAAAACAGTTATTGGTATCAGAAATAATGACAAATAGTACTATATTGATTTAGAACTTGAAATTGTGACCCAATGTAATTATTTTGTTATGTTTTTTCATCTTTAATGGAAAATTTCATGTCATGGATAAAGGAAAGGGGCATTATTATCTCCAAAGTAAGTTTTAAAAAATCACAAATTTAATATTCAGCTTGCTAACAATACTCAAATATTGTGTATATTTTGATGAAACGGTGTATAACAGCTGGCTATTGAATATTCAAGCTGAGCTAAATGTAAAATTGTAAAATGTAAATATCCTCGAAAAAACACCGGACATGTTGCTCAGTTTCAAGACGGGCAAAGAAATGGCAAGACATATTTATACTATCTTCCCGTGTAGAACTTCACACACTTGCTTCATCAGTTTTCCAGCCATTGGCAACCAATCAGCAGGTATATTATGACAACACTCAGCCTAGTTCATTGTATCTATACTACAGAAATTGTTTGTGATTGTTTGGTCTGTTCTCGGCTTTGGAATTGCTGACATCAACACTGTGTTAGGTTAAGTGGGAAATTGAAACGCAAATTCTGTTTCAGATTACGTAAACTATACATAAATATTAATATATGTATTGAAGTGTCAAAAAAGTATCAAAAACGGAAACTAATTAATAAATATCAACTCTACCAAAAGGAAATTGACAATGAATAGCAAGTGTCATGTGCCAGTCGGTGCACTATTTTATGTTGTGCGCATTAATCTGGATACAGATAGGGAATGTTGTAAGGAAATTTCCATCAACAATGTAACATTCTGTGACATAAGTAAAGCCTTTGACAGAGTGTGGCACAAGGGTTTGCTGTTTAAGCTAAAACAAAATGGAATATCTGGTAATCTTTTAGCATGGTTTGGGAGCTACCTCCAGGATCGAAGCCAGCAGGTAATTATTGAAGGAAGTTCTTCAACTACTAAGGAGCTACATGCTGGGTTCCACAGGGTTCAATATTAGGTCCACTTCTTTTTATTGTTTTTATAAATGACATGATAAATGATATTGATGCTCATATTCGGCTTTTTGCAGATAATACATCACTTTTCATGAAAGTTGAAAATCCTGAGAGTGCAGGGACTATTTTAAATTCTGACCTAAACAAAATTAGTACCTGGCCCAAGCAGTGGTTAGTTAATTTCAACCCCAACAAAACTGAAAGTATGGTCCTTACTAAAAAGAGAACTGCTACAGCTCACCCTCCCTTATTTATGAATAATACCCAAATACAAGAAGTCCAGCAACATACACATCTAGGTGTAACTACAGATGGAAATTGTTTTTGGCATGCCCACATTACTAATATACTTGCTAAGGCATGGAAAAGGCTAGATATTCTTAGAGGGTTAAGGTTTAAGTTAGATAGGAAATCTCTAGAAATTATGTATTTTTGTTACATACGTCCCATCTTGGAATATGCTGATATAATCTTGGGTAACTGTACCCAACAAGATTGCCAAGAATCGTGACTGGAGGAACCAAATCTGCTTCATCCAATTCCATTATGCTTGAAACAGGATGGGAAACTTTGGCACATAGGCGTTACAAACATAGAATGTTAACTTCATACAAAATATTTCATGGTGCTGCACCATTATACTTACAATATTTGCTTCCTCCTATTATAGGAAATGAACAAAAATTATAATTTAATGACCAATTCCAATATGCATCCGCCAGCAAGTAGGACAAATATCTATATGAACTCTTTTTTACCTACTGCTATCAGGGAATGGAATGGCATACCAAATAACATAAGAAACTCTCCAACTTTAAAAACTTTCAAAAAACACCTAGATAAACAAATTATTAAACCTCTATACTACTTTGTTGGTGAACGCTGGGCTCAGGTAATGCACACTCGTCTTCGTCTTGGATGTAGCTCTCTCAATTATCATCTCTATAATAATCATGTTTCAGATACAGATCTGTGTGTATGTGGGCAGGTTGAAACTCCCTATCATTATCTGATGCAGTGTGTACGCTTTAATCGAGCTACAGAAAATACCCTAGATACATTAAATTTCACTTTATCACTAGAATTACTCATTCATGGTGACCCAAACCTGTCTCAAGATGATAATATCATTATATTTGAAACGGTGCAAAGGTACATGGTAGAGTCGGGGAGATTCTAGGTGCCGTATGGAGTTTTTTTGTGCTCTCTTTACCTCTTCCTTTCTCCTATCTTATCAACTTATGTTACCTTCTTATGGTTTACATATTAGCGGTCAGTGTTCATCAGTGAATGTCAAGTTTAAAAAAAAGTCTTTTTCAATGTGTTTAATGTAAATTGTACTATTGTAACTGTTTTATATTGGAGATGGCTTAATATAAGATTTATAATCTTGTTGCCAGATCCATTTTCCAGTTTTATAAGTTGTGTATGTGTATATTGTAAAGGAAAATCTGAAAATAAAATAATGTTTATACCAACAATGTAACATATGTGTGATTTGTTTAAGCAAGAAATCTGTCCTATTTGCAGAGATGCAAATCTCTGCACATCTATTCATATATCATAGTTATGAAATTCAAGTATAGAAACTGTAACATTACACAGAATTATTACGGTGATTCTCAAGTAGTCTTCTCTAAACAACTATATTTGGGCACGGACTAGTGTCAACAGATAACCTTTTTGACAAGATATTTCTATCACATTTTGCTGCACAGGTACTGACAACAGAACGCATAAGTGCTCCGTAAGATGTCTACATACGGACATGAACAATTACCTTGAGTCCCGATACGATTAGATGATAAGATAATAAAGGTTTTGAGGACGCACGTGTCGTATTCCCATTGTCCACTCCCAGGGGTCTACATTTTACATGGTCTTTGCTTATCCTACTAGGGTCATTTGTCGTATATAATAATAAGAAAACAACGCTCCCTTTCATTCGTACAAAGAACACCATTATGCCGGGACAGAGCTCAGGTGGAGCCGCCGCACTGGCGGCTTTGCTTGGTCTTCTGTCTGCTGTGAGTGGACAGTCCGTGGTTTGCAACCAGCCGTCCAATAAATCCAGTACCGTGTATGATTTCTCCATCCGCGACCTCCACAAGGAGAAGACGATGCACATGTCCGACTACCGCGGCAAGGTCCTGCTGGTGGTCAACGTGGCAACGTACTGAGGCAAGACGCCACAGTACTTCGGTTTGAATGCACTACAAAACGACTATGGGTCCCGCGGACTTCAGGTCATCGGAGTCCCATGTAACCAGTTCCATGAGGTAAACAGAAACAAATAAACAACTACCAATGAAAATTTCGATCCTATAATCATAATTTCATCAATCCATTGCTGATCAGTGGTAATCATTGGTACGTTTCCAACTCATTTAGCAACTGTGTCAAATCCGTTCTACCTTTGACATCATAGAACATCACATTACGTTCACACCACCATGGACACTATTAATGGCATGCGAGCTCTCCACTAGATATAGTTTTGCCAATTATGTCTTTTTTTAAGAATAGTCAAATACAACGATATCTACATCTATGATAAATGTCGTGTATAGATTCTATAGCTGGTCTATAGTAAATAAAGCACCCATTGATACGTTTGTTTTAAATATATGAGGACCTCAAGATCCAACAAACCGTCGATCACTCCACTAGATTCTAGCAATCAACCATCCCTGTTAGTCATGCATCACTGATCATGAAATAACTTGCAACTTTAGCACTCCAAGGCAGATATGAAAAGAAACATGAAGCAACCAACTAAGGGATTCAAATCCCGTTCTATATTTCCATTGAGTAATCTGGCGTAACCTTGGTTCTAAGCTGTCAGCTGTGATGAATCTGTAAAGGAAATATATTCGCACATAGAAGCTTACAAAAGTAACGGGAAAAAAATCTTGATTTTGTTTGATGACACTAACGACAAAGATACTGGTGCCACATATCAGATGTAATATATCTATAAAAAGAACAGATGTGCAATCTTATTTTTGTTTCCCATACCAATATCACTAATAATTCCTATATTGTTAAGGAAGAGCCCGGATGGAACGGTACCGAAATCATGAACGGCATCATGTACGTCCGTCCTGGTAACGGTTTTCGCCCAGTCTTTCCTCTCACCGAGAAGGTTGATGTTAATGGAGCTGTTCAGCATCCTCTATACGTGTATCTCAAGGTACGTCACTTCCGGTCTTTTCTAAATTCTAAATCATCACAAATACATTATCGAACGAATATGAGTATTTGAGGCATACAGAAATAAATATAATAACGAAATTGTGCAAGTAAAGTTTCTACTAGCAATTTAACGTTATCTGTAGATATCCGTTCCTTTTTATAGGAGTTTTGTCCTCCAATAGACAGCTTCTTCCGAGTGTTTACCAATGGGGAGCCGCGTTCTATAAACGATGTTCACTGGAACTTCGAGAAGTTTCTGGTCGGCCGGGATGGTCGGATAGTTAGCAGGTACCATCCAAGAGTTCTCCCTATAGAAATCAGACCCGACATTGAAACAGAACTCAACAAATCTCCGCCAATGAGTTCCATTACTACACCAAGTAGCGTCATCATAGGATAGAGGGGCAGGGTCTATTCAGAGGAGTTTAAACTTTTTATATAACTTAAACACATCAATAACGTTTGAAACATTAAACATCATCATTGTTCGCTCTTATTGTCAAATAGTGTTTTTCAACACGTCATAATTAACTATGACGTAGTCGTTGTCAACAGCAACAAGCTGCCGGCGGCTACCGATGGATGTGGAAGTTAGGAGGTTATTTAGTGCATTCAACCTTTTATGAAAACATCCTTTGATTAGCGTGGATGACTAATCACTATTTATTATGTAAAACATAGACAATAAACATGTGTTCAATATATTTCAGTATTTGTTGTCTTCTATTTCACAGATTAATTACACATGTCAAAGATGATAGATCAAGTTGTAGGAGTAGAAACAGTGACGATTTACCGCCAAAACGTCAGTTCCAGCGGATTAATTTCAGTTTAATTCAAGCTATAATCGGCATATATAACAACAATATTGTCATTGAATCATCTTGTTATGACATTTATGATTGTAATAAATGACAGTCTAAACGTAAAGAACGCTAACTCCTTTAATTATATGCTGGTGTGAAGTATACCTTCACACAAGTCACTACAGGGGTATTTTATTTATCTCGATCACACACGAATACATTAGATTTTATAATAGTCACGGTTGTACCTTACATTTATTATCATTTTGGTGTGATAATATTTAGAAAAAATTCGGAAAATGTGTCAGGTCTCATTAATACGTAAGCGGACATATTGTCTGATTGTCTATACAATCGACAATTTACGGTAAAGGAAATAAACTCACTGTTGTACTGCTAAGGTCATAATCCTGATTATACAAAATGGTAGTATAATAATCATTTACGGTAATAACGTCACTTAACTATTTGATATACAACATGCACCTAACACCATCAGAATAACGGAAAAACAGTAATCTCTATACACAAATCATTTCTTAAAACGGAATATAATGAAAAAAAAAGTTCATGTATTCATAAAAGCAATAAATATCACTGTTGTTAAAACCAAAACGAGAACGCAAACTGGATGTACAACATAATCATCACTTAATAAAACTACAACTTGTATACAATGTTTGGTTTATACTAGATGAATTAACATCGTCACAGACCTACAATACCAGGTCTGGTTGGTGTTTGTGTTTCCCTGCTACCACACTATAGAGTAACATCACTGCCTTCGTTGTAATCATGATCTATGGTGACTGGGTTATCTTGTCTGCTTTGATCTCAAAATGACAGCCTTCATATGTCGGTTTGTGCATTTAAATGTCGTACACATACAACCTTATATGAATATGTATGACAACACCTTACATGATATACAATGGCTAACACGGTGACAAAGGGATATAAGACTCATTAACATTACTATATTATCAACATCCACACTGTATCTACATACAACCGCTTTTCCCCTAAACTTTAGATGAAACATGAAAGCGAGGAAACAAAACAATAGAAAAATTGGTAACTCTGGGAAGTTTTATGTGGTAATTTTGATATCATTGAGAAATATTGCATTTCTTTGTGCGGTATGGCGATGAACGTAATTTACTGCTCGGTATTATACACTGTTCTCATTTGGGAACGTGGCATTACGTATTTGAAGTGACCAGCGTTTAATTTTTCTTTTGTTCATATTTTGCCAATGTTTTATAAAATTTAAGGTTGGATTATGATTCTGTGTGAAATTAATATGTTCATGCTGTTTTTAAATCGTCTTACAATTGATATACACAAACTTGTTGACCTGGTGATTATATGATATAATTATTTGTGTAACAAATCGCTGGTCCCAATATTTATCTTTTTTTATATAGAAGGCACATATGTATACCATTCGTTTTAGTTTTCTCCGGAAACATTTGTGTTCGTGTAAATATCCAGTCTAAATGTATATATGTTATTTACAAACATGGACATACACAATAAATAACTGCGAATTTTGAGGCAACTCAAGTCTTTGTCAGATCTCCCACCGAGTTTTCGCCCCTGGACCCTCTCTTGAAAGGATACACTCCTAATAGCATTTGCTACGTCACTGTGCTAAAAACTTCGGGTAAGAGAGTGAAAAGGGCAGACACTATTGAAATGAAAAAGAGACGTTCTTAAAATATCCATCAGACGCAATAATCAAATACAGATTGAAAACAAAATCAATTTTTAAGACTGTGATAATGGCAACTAAGGCGTCGACATAGGTGTTAAACTCTTAAATGTTCTATCAAATACCAGTGCTGTCATCACAAAACCTGATATTTCATTCATCAAATTGTATTGACAAAATTGAAAAGTCCATTGTATCGAATAACAGACAAATCCTGCATAAACACTTTCCATCAAAAGGACGTATTAGGATAAACGATGAAATATTAGTAGGAAGGTAATGGTAGACAAGGCTAAGGGGAGATAACTCAAGATGAAAACAACTCGCACACTTAATGTGCTAGTACATTAATGTCAGCAAATGTATACACGATCATAGACAGATATTGGCTGACTTAATTCCAGGTGCTTATATCACACGGATCACTGCTACCACAGCTTTTTAATACACTGAATAATATGTATTCGTATTAGTAAGCATATGTTGCTCAACCAGAATGTCTTATGTAATTAACAAACAATTTGACAGGCACTGACATTGTCGGAATAAACCCGCAAATATGTTTTTGCTGTATTCGGCAATGACGGAAAATAGCTGTATTTTTTCACGTGTGTTTATTCGACAGCATCGATTTTTAAATCTACTGAAATATTACGTTAAACACTATAAAAAAATACTGAATTAAGCGATTTTATATATTATAATGAAAAGTTTATTTCCGAAAATTCATAAAATCGCTGACATATCCATTGACGTTTAGAGTTTGGCAAACGTCATCAGCCAAAATTCAGAGTAACGTTAACGTCAAGTATACAAAGATTGAACAACAACGCTGTTGAAATTTTCAATCAATGGTCAGTGTCTTCAAATATAAGCTTCATTTGTCTCTCTTCACCCTGATTGAGGGTTATACATCTTAGCACATGACTCATCGACGATTTTCACATACGGTAGATGATGAATTTAAACTTTGTTAATTAAAGATGCTGTGTTAAAGTTTGGGATTTAATAACTCAACATTGAGTTTATTTTTTTAAAGTATGTATACTATCATGACGAATCATGGTATACATGTATACCTGTATAAAACGATCCCACATTGCACTTTATGATTTTCACCTACAGTGAACCTTTTAAAATGATTGCGTCATGTTGAGGTATTGCGTTTAGCTGTACACGAAGTCTACCTACATTTTTACTTAACCTTGGTGATACGGAGAAGAGACGTGAGACATATCATTACATATAATTTATTCCAGTGCACAGGTGTATGCCGTCATGAAGTCACGCTTCATTTACATAATCAGTAGACTTATTATATAGGAATTTTCAAGTCAACAGGATCCCGGATAAATAATTTTGTTATGTTTTTGTGCATTGTGATCGATAACACTGAATAAATCAATGTCAATTGTTAGAAAGTTCTATCATATTGATGAAGAAATTATACTTGTGGCAAGACCGAATCGCATTGTAATGCTTGATGACATATTTTGTTCAATATAGCTCACAACTGCTGAATCCAATAGGAATTACTACAACCATTCTATGTTTTAGTCGTGAATAATATGTAGGCAGATAGAAGATCTGTAGAGGATTTTACTTGACAACAAACATAAATAAGGGTTTCTCGACACCTGCTTTATGTTTGTCCAAAAATAGATCAAGTTAGGAAAAATGTGAATAATAACCTGACCAATATAGTCGTATTCTTTCTGTCGTTGTATTGCCTAATAAATCGACTGCGTAAACTAACTATGTTTCGAACGTCCTTATTAACGATTCAACCTTCAGTCCAACCTATACGATAATATTGATTTTTCCAATGTCACAGGGTATACCATTATTTTACCTATTTTTGTAATATTACAGACCATAATACACACGACTTTGTAAAAGGAGCTGAAACAAATGCACACATGTACTTTTTTTTCAAGTTAGGATCCTTTATTTGGACTGGTGCAATTTTTCTTTTTGTTACATATACTGCTCACGTGTACATGGTGGTATATATGCGCAAGCAGACACGTGCAGATTCCAGTGAAACTACGAAACAGGTTTGTCGGCTGAATCACATTTCATCATCATCTTCATCTATATTGTACTTGAGAAGAATTAGCCCAAGGTAAGTTTTTGATTTGTAAAATTCCAAACATCCATATGTGAATCCTGGCGATATTTAATACATATTGGAAAAACTTTAAACTTTAAAGACGTTCATACTTCTTTGTAAGAAAAACACTGTATTTGTATTACCAGTCGATATCATCAAAGGTATTAGTTCTGGTTATTTTTCTCGGACGGTTAAAGACATTAAGCGGAAAACTGTTTACGTGTGCGTTTTTCGTTTTTTTCTCTTAATTTCAAAATATGTTGGAAAATATCTGCAGCCTAGTGTTTAATGTCGTGAATTATCTTAATCTGTCTTATTAATATAATTACCAGTGTTCATCCGGCATTAGGTGTTAAATCACAGATATTGTTAGTCTTTTAATGTCTATCTGGAATACACTGACGTATACATTATTTCGTGTTTATCTAGAATACACTGACGTATACATTATTTCGTGTTTATCTGGAATACACTGACGTATACATTATTCCGTGTCTATCTGGAATACACTGACGTATACATTATTTCGTGTTTATCTGGAATACACTGACGTATACATTATTTCGTGTTTATCTGGAATACACTGACGTATACATTATTCCGTGTCTATCTGGAATACACTGACGTATACATTATTTCGTGTTTATCTGGAATACACTGACGTATACATTATTTCGTGTTTATCTGGAATACACTGACGTATACATTATTCAATGTTTATCTGGAATACACTGACGTATACATTATTTCGTGTCTATCTGGAATACACTGACGTATACATTATTTCGTGTTTATCTGGAATACACTGACGTATATATTATTCAATGTTTATCTGGAATACACTGACGTATACATTATTCAATGTTCATCTGGAATACACTGACGTATACATTATTCAATGTTTATCTGGAATACACTGACGTATACATTATTTCGTGTTTATCTGGAATACACTGACGTATATATTATTCAATGTTTATCTGGAATACACTGACGTATACATTATTCAATGTTCATCTGGAATACACTGACGTATACATTATTCAATGTTTATCTGGAATACACAGACGTATACATTATTTCGTGTCTATCTAGAATACACTGACGTATACATTATTTCGTGTTTATCTGGAATACACTGACGTATACATAATTCGTGTCTATCTGGAATACACTGACGTATACATCATTTCGTGTCTATCTGGAATACACTGACGTTTACATTATTTCGTGTCTATCTGGAATACACTGACGTATACATTATTTCGTGTCTATCTGGAATACACTGACGTATACATTATTTCGTGTCTATCTGGAATACACTGACGTATACATTGTTTCGTGTCTATCTGGAATACACTGACGTATACATTGTTTCGTGTCTATCTGGAATACACTGACGTATACATTGTTTCGTGTCTATCTGGAATACACTGACGTATACATTGTTTCGTGTCTATCTGGAATACACTGACGTATACATTATTTCGTGTCTATCTGGAATACACTGACGTATACATTATTTCGTGTCTATCTGGAATACACTGACGTATACATTATTTCGTGTCTATCTGGAATACACTGACGTATACATTATTTCGTGTCTATCTGGAATACACTGACGTATACATTATTTCGTGTCTATCTGGAATACACTGACGTATACATTATTTCGTGTCTATCTGGAATACACTGACGTATACATTATTTCGTGTCTATCTGGAATACACTGACGTATACATTATTTCGTGTTTATCTGGAATACACTGGTCGTTAGATTTGATGTTTCTGATGACATGAGTTTAATCACGTACACTAAGGTGATTTCCCGTTGATGTGGTAAACACTCACTACTAAATCTAAATACGCGTGTTTGTTTGGAAGTCATTAACGATAACTTATGTGCATAGTGAAAATGCGGAATTTATATAAAAAAAAATCACGACTTCTATATTTATCACCTCGTTACGTAGTCAGTGTGCGTATTGTGGGAAACCGGTGTTTATTCTGAATAAAATAGCCGAATCTGCTTGTAAACTGTGAGAATTCAGTATTTACACGGAATGTCATCGACATAGATGGCGATCCGGTACCAGGTCCGAAGGATTGGCTGTATTACGCAATATCGTTATCTGAATTGATTGGACGGCAAGACTAAGGCGGAAGGTGGAGCAATAATTCTAATTCTTTCATAAGCCTGACTTTTGACATGTTTACAAGAATTCATGAATTTCAATTATCCATAATTCAGCACAAACCAAAATTTTGTACATTTCATCATTCAGTACAAACCGGAACCGTGTACATTCCACAATTCAGCACAGACCAGAATATCCTATAGTTTTCTATTGTTTTTCAAATGTATTTTGTCCGTCATTTCTTTGAACCAGGATAAAGTGTAGACAGTGACGAAATATAATGGAAACGACAAGGCATTTCAATACAATACAATATTACAATATTGAGCCGTGCTGGCATTGAATTATACTGATGATGTAATAGATTGTGGTATTTACAGCTGTGATAGGTGGGTCAGTATCTTTGTAATACTTATCATATTTCGAGCATTTAATCTTGTATAATGTTGGTTTAAGGTGTATTTGCCAAAACTTGATAGTGACGAGAGGATCTGACTCTTTTTATAACAACATGAACTAGACATTATCCTCTAAACAAGGTATTGGTTAAGGAAGTCGTGATTTGTGCGACAGAAAAAAAAATTTCAAATCTGTTTACGTAAATATACGACATGATGACAGTTTCGGCAGAATTACCATCTTTTCTGTCGTTTGTGTCCGAAGTTTTCCAGTAGATTGATTTTTAAATGTTCTGAGAATACGTTACTTGTGTTTTGTAACACGTCTTTTTTTTCTCACCGTTAGAACACATCTCCTGATACGAAATGACGACTGATTCACCTAACACCAGTACTAATGGTGAGATCACTAGACCACCAGTCAACAAACACATCCTCCAAAACCAGTTTAGTATAGAGTCTGTCCAAGGCGGAAGTGGCACCAGGCGTCGAAGAACTACTTCCGGTGGAGGTTTACACAGACAATCGAGTCTGAGTCTTCATCACTGGGACTCTTACAAAGTAATAAAGAAAGATGTCGATGAAGCCCTTGAGGAACATCCCGATGACGTCATTAAGACGAAGGGTATGCTACTTTAACTATTTTGTTGAATGACAATATTTCATTAAGCAGGTTCAAACTGTATCTGCTGCTACTAATTTATTTACAAAATTATCAGATATTGCCTAGTCTTTTGTGGTGTTGCTAAATTTGTTAACCTGATAACTTCACAGTCGTTTTTTATCGCCACTACAGACAAGGATTTCTCAGAAAAGAGTATGATAATTGTAGTATAATGAATATTGTTTTTATCATATTTACAGTACCATGGTGGACATCTCACAGAGTACGTCTGTCCTTTCTTTGTTTTATGGGATTTTTCTGTCTATATGCTAACCGAGTTAATTTAAGTGTGGCGATAATTTGTATGGTCAAGCAAGAACTGACCAATGACACAAGTGTAAACACACAGAGCTTCGTTAACGAAACTGCACAGGTGACTTTCCAAAGCAACAATTACGTTCCCGGATTAATCACACCAAACAGATCATTTGAGAACCATCATATCGAAGGTCCGGAAGTAAGTGTTTGTCCGACGTCTGCGTGGTCGAGTCGATCACAGGTAAGTCACTTCTGGAACGTATACGAGTCAATTTATCGCGGAAAGTTAAGATTTGTTTTAGAGTTATCGTCCTTGGAATTCAGTAATTACGCCGACGTATGAATACTGTACATTAATAACGACCGAATTGTAATTTATCGCTAATTTTCAAGTAATTACTCAAGTTTCGTGTTTTGAACATATCTATAAACCAATCAGTCAAACATTGATAATATTGCCAACATGTTACTATCAGTATTTTCTTATATCACAGCCAGGGGAATTCGAATGGGACAAGTTCCTCCGAGGATTTCTACTTGGGGGATTTTTCTGGGGTTACACCATCATGCAGATTCCTGCTGGCTGGATGGCGGAACGATACGGTCCGCGGGAAACTGTTTTTGGCGGGATGTTTTTGGTGTCGACACTCACACTACTTACACCGCTGCTCGCCAGGGGGAGCCCTTATCTCCTTCTGATTGGGAGAGTGCTGATAGGAGTTGGTGAGGTAGCTATGTATCATTATAAGTTGACTGTTATTTTATGTTCATATTTTTATTGCTTAATCAAATTGTGCAGAATGTCTGCAGTGGGGAAAAGAGTGAACATTAAATCACCACCGGTATTTGGAAGAAAATGACATGACCTATATATTGCTTGATCTAATTAAAATGCGTATATTACAGGCACGTAATTTCAAACCTATTCATACTCCTTGCTTCAATATTGGCGCTGATATCAAATTCATCACTTGACATGTCCATTTACAGCAATAATGTCATTTTTGCAACGAAAATGGAGTTTGTTTACGACGATGTTTTTCCGTACACAGGCGATGATGTACCCCGGAGCCCAGGTTTTGTGGGCTAAATGGGCCCCACCACAGGAAAGGAGTAGACTTGTCGGCTTCTCATTCGGAGGGTGCCAGCTAGGGAACGCTCTGGCGTTTCCAGTGGCGAGTCTCCTTTGTCAGTACGGATTCGATGGAGGCTGGCCCGCCATCTTCTATGTACTGGGTGCGTCAATCATATTCAGGTCGATAAATCTCTATTTGATTAATCTTTCGTAAAGGTAAACATTTGAGGATTTAGACTTAGAAAATTGCTAAAGATTTTGACAAATCATTTTTTTTTCAAATAATAACATTATCTGAGACCAACACTACTGGAATTTCCTCGGACAAATGAGGAATAGGTTTTTCTTTATCTCAAATGTCGTCAATTTCCATTGTATTAAAAAAAAATCTCATATAACTAACCATGACCACTTATAACTAACCATGACCACGACCACTTATAACTAACCATGACCACTTATAAGTAACTAGGATCACTTATAAGTAACTAGGATCACTTATAAGTAACTAGGATCACTTATACGTAGCTGTGATCACATGATTCCATAATGTTGATTGTAAGTGGTCGTGTGATTCAGTCCGTTGTATCTATAACAAAGGGACATCCCTATACCCTATACGTAGTCTAAGAAGAATTTATTTGCGTTTATAGGGGGACTGGCTCTGATTTGGACGTTTGTGTGGTTGATATGTGTTAGGAACACACCAGCAGAAAAACCAGGAATATCCGAACGAGAAGTGAGGTATATCGAGAGTTCGCTTGGATGTGTTTTCTCTACAAAGAACTCCGTCAAGAAGGTGAGGAACCGTGATTGTGTCTTGATATCGTCGTCATGACATACTTTTTTTTTTACCTAAATCTATATCATATTCACGGTTATATTTAATGAGTCGGAAGAGATCCTACCTTAAATTTGAATATTTATAACTATTCATTTTGTCCTGACGTGCTTACAATGGTTCCGATTTCATCACAAAAACGTTTGGCTTCAATTGTTCTCTTGTGGAAACACTTAATCTCATTCCAAACGTTTGGCTTGATCCGAAAAAAGATTTGTTCTAAGGAACGAACTACATGTACTATAGTTCCGAGTACAGTTTAGAAATTTAATATTCAGTATGGACAAAACACCCTTTCAGAAACATCTGATTCCATGGAAAGCTATGCTTACGTCACTTCCGGTGTGGTCTATACTGGTTGCAAACTTTTGTGGTAACTACGGAGCGTATATGCTGCTGACGCAAATGCCGACGTACATGAAGGAAGTCCTTCACTTCGATATCAAATCGGTAAGTGACCCGTTGTCGTCCCTGATCATCTTGGTGCTGATTAGTAGGATTAGTAGAGGACATTTCAGTCCTACCGTTTGAAAACATTGTGTTTACAACATGTTTACATAGTGTATTGTCTTTAGAGTAGCTACAGATTTCTACTGTAATTCGGGGGTCTAGACTCGTCACCCAATATCATTTCTTTTTGTCTTTTTGTACTTTTTGTCACTCGAATCAGTTGTATGTGTTGTGGATAACTTTGTATTCTATCATTTTACATTGTTACAATGTATTTATTGAAAACCAAAGTTTATCACTACAACCCTTACTTCTGTTTATCATCTGTCAAACATTTCGAGGCTCTAAATCTTGTTCTGAAAAGTTAGTTAATAACTCCCGATACTCACCATACACATGGTCACGTCGAAATGTTATTTTCGTTTTTGACAGAATGGAGTCTTTTCCATGATTCCTTATATCGTATTTTGGATTTTCGTCGTGATTGCTGCCCTGTTTGCCGATTTCTTCATATCTAGGAACATCTTGTCTATTGAATGGACCAGGAAGCTGTGCGGTTCTATAGGTAGGACAAGTTATCTACCCGAACAATAGACATTTCAGTCTTTAAAACGACAATTTGTTGATAAAAAGCGGTTTGCTATCTAACATACAGTTAAAACTCGTTTCGAAATCGCTTGCTTCGAAATTCCGTTTGAGTCGAAATAATTTTCAAGTCCCTTGAATTTCGAGATAACGAGTTTCGACTGTACATGTATTTACTCAAGGGACTGAAATGTGCTTGGTAAAACTAATTACCGATTTAAGAACAGCAAAGTTTCTTTTCTTCTTAAATTTGTTTTGTGAGGATAGTTGAACTACATTTGATTATGTAAAGCGTACATTACAATGCAAGTGTTTATTTATGGTACGACATTGAGGAACTACTATTGTTCGCTACAAACAATGAAATCACCATCATTGGTCCCCATTTCTGGCCCTTCTACTATGTGATTTCTGTATTAAGAATCTACATCGTATGATGTAGGTCGGACAAACTAGAGTACTCGTTCCTGGTATTATATTATCCTTCACTTGTTACACTAAATCCACGTTGTGTAAAATGACGGTGTCATATTTTGTTTTACAGGGATGTTTGTTCCGGCTGTTTTCCTGATTGCTGTAGGTTACATGGACTGTTTCCATCAGATCGAGGCTGTCGCCTTGTTAACGTTGTCGTTGGCGTTCTGTGGGTTTCAGTTCGCCTCATTTTTTGTCAACCACGCCGACATAGCACCGAAATACGCTGGAACTATTTTTGGAATAACAAACACTGGCGCAAGCGTACCAGGTATCCTGGCTCCGTACGTCGTTAGTGCGATCACACAAAATGTGAGTTAACCAAATTCATAATTATACACGAAAATATTCGTTTCAAAATAAACATGAATCGGAAATATACTTCTAAATAGATTGTAAATAGTAACCGACTCCAGCCAGTAATACTATTTCTATCACAATACCACTGAACACAATTATTAATTAAAACTTACAAATAAAATGGATTGTATATTATGACGTTATGTTACAAGTAATTAATAATTTGTAATTTTTAAACAGAAAACACCTGCAGAATGGAGGGTAGCTTTTTACATAGCCGCAGCCATTTATACGTTCGGTGGTATATTTTACATCGTGTTTGCCAAAGGAAGGATACAACCATGGGCTTCAGATGAAGAGGATGACGATGACGAGGATGTTAAGTTAAAGGATTTCTCTGAAAACACTAAGACATTGCTTAGTAATGAAGACAAGGCTGAAACTAACGGCAAGCGTAAAACATGAACTGGAGAATTAGCCGAGGCATGGTAAAACTGATTAGCTTAAACTCAGTGCAAACATGAACTGGAGAATTAGCCGAGGCATGGTAAAACAGATTAGCTTAAACTCAGTGCAAACATGAACTGGAGAATTAGCCGAGGCATGGTAAAACAGATTAGCTTAAACTCAGTGCAAACATGAACTGGAGAATTAGCCGAGACATGGTAAAACAGATTAGCTTAAACTCAGTGCAAACATGAACTGGAGAATTAGCCGAGGCATGGTAAAACTGATTAGCTTAAACTCAGTGTAAAGATGAACTGGAGTACAGGGACATGTTACTAATGTGGCATTATTTCCTAACTTGAATGCTTATATCTCAATAGACACAAAGACACATATTTACCAGCAGAGTGTTGGTGTCGACAGAGCGGACAAGGACTTTAAGGCTTTTTTGGCAACCCGCCCCTTTGTCGGTATTTTAATGTATCAAATTGTCTATGTCAACTACAATTTTATTTATTAGTATTGAATATTGATATTCATTTGCATGCATTGTTCATCATTACTTGGTCCGAGACCAGAGATACCTACTGAAAATCCTTCGCTAAATGGTTAATTTATTGTGAAAAGACAAGTATTTTTTATATGATTAAATTTGAAATTATTAGAAATATATTTAATGAGTGAATTTTCTAATTGCCAAAGAGATATATTTACATGTACACAGGTACATAAATACGTGATATTATTTCTGTGTGTGATATCGTTAATATTCGTGTAGATTTTATCATGTGAGTTTGTGATTTCTGTGTATCTTACATAATTAAGCGTAATGTTTGTTTTGTTATAGGACAAAGATTGTGTTGCAGACCCCAGAGCTTTGATATTTTGTACGAAAGGGCACTTACATATAGAATCACATTCCAGAAGTATTTACAGACCTGTATATATCACGTATGCTTGTTCGGTAGACTGTTATACAGGAGCTATAACGAAGTGTAGGAGAGAAATGAGGCTTTACGTGGGTGTGATCTAGGTAGTGAAAAAGATCGGCTGTGACGTTACCAATCTCTTTCCAGGGTTGTCTTTCTTACTACAAAGGTTTTTACTTTCAACACGACGCCTGCATTTTCACACCTATTACTGTTTTACCAAACACCAAATTATATAACAGGAAAAGTTCAAATGCTATCTACACAAAATTTGTGTATTTAAAAATCGTAGGAATAATTGTGAAAAATGACTGCGTTTACTAAGAATTACATTTTGGTACAGCACTTTGTAGTTTGAGAGTAAAGTAAATTTATGGAAGGAATGTTAACTCCGACAAGAGGTAATATGACCAAGAGGAACAACTCGGACTGAACAGATCTCGCGATATTTGGTGACGTCAAACCACCAAAGCCTGAAACAAAAGGGCCTCGTTTTAGTGTAAAATGATTAAATATAACGAGTTTATCATGATAATAACGAGGGTTCATGTTCGCGATCCCCGGGTCATATATTTACAATTTAGAACCCCGTCTATAAAATTTTGATTGCTTTAACTGATGAGAAACATTTTTGTCACATAATCCGGCTGTTGTCCCGTTAACACATAATCCGCCTGTTGTCCTATCAAGACATAATCCGCCTGTTGTCCCGTCAACACATAATCCGCCTGTTGTCCCGTCAACGCATAACCCGCCTGTTGTCCCGGGAACACATAATCCGCCTGTTGTCCCGGGAACACATAATATTTTACATATATTTTACCCTTGATGGTTTTAGATTGACTGTATTCGTCAGAAATTAAATGTGATGTCATGATCTTACTAATGAATGAAAATGGCACACGTTAATGACTCCCTCTGTTGAAAACTGTCAAAATGTAACTTTTCTGAATTTTGTGAGAAAAAGTATCTTAAATTTGTTTTCGTGTCTCATATGAGACTTGATGAAACTCGTCTCGAAATTTCAATTTTTACTCTCTCACGTGAAATGAAAACTCATTTAAGATCCTGTCTTCGTTAGACATGTGCATCTAAGTCTATATATACGTATTCCATGATTAGGTTTGTGAGTAATTATATATATACTAAGGGTAGTTACGGTACTTATCAATAACATATCATCACAACAGCCTCGATATTCCCAATCTAATAATTATATAAAATGGATCTGCTATGATTCACTACTCCACAGTGTTTAAAATATTATCTTGATCTCTGAATGCTTTCATATACATATGTATATCTAGATCTGTTCATGTTTTTATGTTTTTCTAGATCCGTGTGTGTTTTCATTTTTCTATAGATCTGTAAATGATTTGATATTTTCCATGTCTGTGGAATGTTTTTATATTTTTTCTAGATCGGCATATTTTCCTGTTTGTCTAGATCTGCGAAGTTGTTTTCATACCTCTAATATATCGCTGTATGTTTTGCTGACTTTACATTTCTTTTATAATAAAAAAGCAAATTACTGTGTGATCGTTCATCGCTCGATTATCTATGTATTTACACTGACAAGTCTTTTATTGTCAATAACAGGAACAAATAAACCCAATACACACGATAACACAAAGAACGGGCCAACATTCTATACACGTAATAACACAAAGAACGGGCCAACATTCCATACACGTAATAACACAAAGAACGGGCCAACATTCCATACACGTAATTACACAAAGAACGGGCCAACATTCCATACACGTAATAACACAAAGAACGGGCCAACATTCCATACACGTGATAACACAAAGAACGGACCAACATTCCATACACGTGATAACACAAAGAACGGGCCAACATTCCATACACGTGATAACACAAAGGACGGGCCAACATTCCATACACGTGATAACACAAAGGACGGGCCAACATTCCATACACGTGATAACACAAAGAACGGGCCAACATTCCATACACGTGATAACACAAAGAACGGGCCAACATTCCATACACGTAATAACACAAAGAACGGGCCAACATTCCATACACGTGATAACACAAAGAACGGGCCAACATTCCATACACGTGATAACACAAAGAACGGGCCAACATTCCATACACGTGATAACACAAAGAACGGGCCAACATTCCATACACGTGATAACACAAAGAACGGGCCAACATTCCATACACGTGATAACACAAAGAACGGGCCAACATTCCATACACGTGATAACACAAAGAACGGGCCAACATTCCATACACGTGATAACACAAAGAACGGGCCAACATTCCATACACATGATAATACGAATAAAACAATATAACACACAATACGTAAAAAGACCCAGTACACAGTATCACGTACAAACCATAATAACACTCTATAGATATACACGATAAAACAGCACATACATCACACACAACGTAATAACACACTACATACAACATACACAACGTGATAACATACTACATACAACATACACAATGTAATTACACACTACATACAACATATACAACGTAATAACACAGTACATACACAATGTAATTACACAGTACATACAACATACACAATGTAATTACACAGTACATACCACATATAAAACGTAATAACACACTATATACAGCATACACAACGTAATAACACAGTACATACAACATACACAACGTAACATCACAGTACATACAACATATACAATGTAATAACACATGGTACACACGACAACACCAAACCTGATAACACTTGGCACACACGACAACACCAAACCTGAAAACACTTGGCACACACGACAACATCAAACCTGATAACACTTGGCACACACGACAACACCAAACGTGATAACACTCGGCACACACGACAACACCAAACGTGATAACACTCGGTACACACGACAACACCAAACGTGATAACACTCGGTACACACGACAACACCAAACGTGATAACACTCGGTACACACGACAACACCAAACGTGATAACACACCACAACACCAAACGTGATAACACTCGGTACACACGACAACACCAAACGTGATAACACTCAGTACACACAACAACACCAAACGTGATAACACTCGGTACACACGACACCAAACGTGATAACACTCGGTACACACGACAACACCAAACGTGATAACACTCGGTACACACGACAACAACAAACATGATAACACTCGGTTCACACGACAACACCAAACGTGATAACATTCGGTACACACGACAACACCAAACGTGATAAAACTCGGTACACACGACAACACCAAACGTGATAACACTTGATACACACGACAACACCAAACGTGATAACACTTGATACACACGACAACACCAAACGTGATAACACTCGGTACACACGACAACACCAAACGTGATAACACTCGGTACACACGACAACACCAAACCTGATGACACTTGGTACACACGACAACAACAAACATGATAATACTCGGTTCACACGACAACACCAAACGTGATAACACTCAGTACACACAACAACACCAAACGTGATAACACTCGGTACACACGACAACACCAAACGTGATAACACTCGGTACACACGACAACACCAAACGTGATAACACTCGGTACACACGACAACACCAAACGTGATAACACTCGGTACACACGACAACACCAAACGTGATAACACTCGGTACACACGACAACACCAAACGTGATAACACTCGGTACACACGACAACACCAAACGTGATAATACTTAGCATACACGACAACACCAAACGTGATAACACTCGGTTCACACGACAACACCAAACCTGATGACACTTGGTACACACGACACCAAACGTGATAACACTCAGTACACACAACAACACCAAACGTGATAACACTCGGTACACACGACAACAACAAACATGATAACACTCGGTTCACACGACAACACCAAACGTGATAACACTCGGTACACACGACAACACCAAACGTGATAACACTCGGTACACACGACAACACCAAACGTGATAACACTCGGTACACACGACAACAACAAACATGATAACACTCGGTTCACACGACAACAACAAACATGATAACACTCGGTTCACACGACAACACCAAACGTGATAACACTCGGTACACACGACAACACCAAACGTGATAACACTCGGTACACACGACAACACCAAATGTGATAACACTTGATACACACGACAACACCAAACGTGATAACACTTGATACACACGACAACACCAAACGTGATAAAACTTAGCATACATGACAACACCAAACGTGATAACACTCGGTACACACGAGAACACCAAACGTGATAACACTCGGCACACACGACAACACCAAACGTGATAACACTTGATACACACGACAACACCAAACGTGATAACATGATAACACTCGGTACACACGACAACAACAAACATGATAACACTCGGTTCACACGACAACACCAAACGTGATAACATTCGGTACACACGACAACACCAAACGTGATAACATTCGGTACACACGACAACACCAAACGTGATAACACTCGGTACACACGACATCACCAAACGTGATAACACTCGGTACACACGACAGAACATACAAAGTTAATACACATCAGTACATGGTATCATGCACAAAGCAACTTCACACTCAATACACACAAGAACGTTTACAAAATGCTATGACATGCTTATGATATATATGTATGTGTTGTACAGAATATAGGATAATTAAACATGATAACACACAAGGTATGCACTATAATACATATATGATGCAATAATACATAGTGCATGATTATCATCATAAAACGACAGCTGTGACGTTTAAAGTGTTGCATTTAAAAATAGTTATCTCAGTTGAAGAGTAGAGGTGAACGGTTCAACACTCCCTTCCCGTGCCGGTTTGTATTTCTTAGAAACGGAACGGTCTGTGCTGTAACGGTTTTGTCCTTGGGCACTTTACCATGACTGCTCTGGATGAAATGCGACGATGAGGTTTCCGCCAAAACCAAACTGAATAAGGAGACTTCGACTCAAAGTGAGGTGAGCTGTTCACGGGGTGATCAAACCCAACACTCATATGGTACCACATCTGAGTGGAAGTCGAAAATTCGTTCAAATCCATCGATAACT